CACATTAAATTGAAATAAATAAAATAATATAAAATAACTGATTACATAAATAATAACTACATAAGAATGAGGAGGTGGGGAGCAAGATGAGAGTAGCCCACAAAGTCAGAATTTAGGATTACTCTAATTTTTGTCCTCCTGAAACTGTTCTTTTTTAAATTTTTTTTATTTTTTATTCTATGTGTTTGAGTGTCCTGCATGTATGTAAGTGCACCCATATTGTGCAGTGCCCATGGAGGTCAGAAGAGGGTGTCAGATTCCCTGGAACTGGAGTTACAGATGGTTGTTAGCCACCATATGGGTGCTGGGAACTGAACCCAGGTCCTTTGCAAGAGCAGCCAGTCATCTTAACTGCTGAGCTATCTCTCCAGCCCCCAGTCTGTTCTATTTTTAAAAGAATACTGAAAATACTCAGAATAGAACCTTGCACACAGGAAGTGTTTAGTAAAGAAGATGGCCAGAAAAGATTATAATGCAAACAAGGGACGCTTATGCTCTAGAATTGGGTCTAGGTTTGAATCAGCGTGTTCACTATATATCTTTAGACAAATGAGTGCCTCTCTGAGACTCACTTGGCCCCTGCATTAGAATAGCTGGTATAAACAAGCCACCTTGCAGGGTTAGGAGGATTACATGAGGTAACACATGCAATACTTAGCACAACATCTAGAATATCACTGAAGCCCTTACAGATGCTAGCTGCTTTTCTTTTTTAAAGGCATCCCGATCATTCCCTATCACTTGCTGCTGTTCCTCCAACCCTGGGTAAAGGAGATGGTGCAGACTGTCTTAAACGGAAGCAGCTGCCATTTTGAGTGGGAGCAGGATCCTGTGTCACCATTTTCCACTTCCTCCTGGAACCATTTCCTTTATGAGCTAAACACAGAGGAATCCACAGACAAAGAAACAATTCTGGGAGAGCCCAGACCCACAACCAGAAGTTACTTCCTTAGAAAAAGGAACTCATAGGCAAGCCCCCACCTCCTCCTGTGTGGTTTGTGGACAGTCTGATGGAAGGAGGCTGGGGTTTCCCCAGTGGTCCAGAGTTGAGGAACAGGTTCCCTGAGGAAGAGCCCTCAATAGGGCAGAGCTGCTGCTAGGAATGGCACTTGGGATGCCACACTTCCTGAACCTGTCACCTTGCCTGGCTTCTAGGTAAAATCACCAGAAATGCCCAGTGACCCACTCTCCCAAGGACCTCTGACCATCCTGTCTTCTAAAATCATAGTAGGTTGAACCATGCTAGGCCACCATCCCTGGTAGTAACCCTTGCTTTGACAGCCCAGCCATCCCATCTCTCACAGAGGAAAATGATACTCAAAGAAATTGAATAATGTAACCAAAATTACCCTGAGTAAGTGAGGGGAGTTAAAACTCTGACCAAGTCCTCTGAGGCCAAGCTTGTAATTACCCCTCTGGTCCTTGGCACCTTCCTCCTATTTTTGTGTTTCTATCTTAGAGAGTCTAACTTGTTCTCTTCTTTCCAGCATGAAAAAAACATTGTTGCCCACAATCACAATCTCTCTAATTAGTATATAGGTCTTCCAGTGTGACCTCACCCACCAGGCTCCCTGCCACAGCAGCTATATTGGGCAGGTGGAGTTTCTCTGCTCTTCCTTCTCCATCCCTTTCCATCCCATACACATAACGGTCTTCCGTCTATACAACGGAACAACAGGAAATGTTTGCTTTGGTGATAAACAGTACTGGTCAAATCACTGCTGTGGAGAGAAGGTCCTGTAAAGTTACAGCGAGGAAGCATTGGACTCCCTGTGGCCCCAGCTAGGTTGATTTGCAGCAAATTAGAAGAGACTGGAACTAGGAAAGGAAAGATTTCTGAAGCTACAAACTGATGGGGCAATTTTTCTAGCCTTCCCTTTGGAGCTCATGGCCTCTTCAAAACCAGCCCCAAGTTGGGCACACATGTGAGCAGCATTTTGGAGGAAAACTGGTCCCTCCCATTCTGCAGTCCTCAGATGGATAAAATAAAGTCCTCAGTAATAAAACTGGGCTAATCGACCATGTACAAACTAATTCATGGTACAGACTAAATACCATGTCTCTTAAAGCAGACTTAGGATGTGCCTTATATTAGTAATGGAAGACTGATATAAATAATTTATATTGATTGAGTGGCTACTATGTGCTGGACACAGTTCTAAGCACAATCATAAGTGTCAGGCTCATTTCTGCTGAAAGAACATGCTCATGGGCTCCAAGTATGCAGCAGACTATTTGTCTCAGACAAGCATGACTAAGAAATGAAGGATCAGGACTTAAACTTGGGGAAGGGATATATTAGTTTCCTGTCTTGTTGCTATGACAAAAGTCCTGACACCTTAAGAAAGGAAGGGTTGGGGCTGAAGAGATGGCTCAGCAGTTAAGAACACTAGCTGCTCTTGCAGAGGACCCAGATTCAGTTCCCAGAACCCACATGATGGCTGATAACCATGATAACCATCTGTAATTCCAGTTCCAGGAGATCCAACGCCCTCTTCTAACCTCCACAGGCATTGTATGACACAAGTGTACTTGCATGCAGGTAATACACTCATACACATAAAATAAAAATAATATTTTTTTTTTTAAAGAAAGGAAGTGTTTATCTGGCTCACCGTTTGAGAGTACAGTCTATCATGGTGGAGATGTCATGGCAACAGGAGCAGGATTATCCATAGTCAGGAAGCAGAGAGAAATGGATGCTAGTACTCAGCTCATTTTCTCCTTTTTATCCAGTCTAAGACTAGAACCCATGGAATGGTACCACCCACATTTAGAGCGAATCTTCCCACCTTGATTAACCTAATCTATAAAGTCCCTCACAGACACACCCAGAGGTTTGTTTCCATGGTGATTCTAATGTCATCAAGTTGACAATCAAGATCAACTGTCACTGGTAGGTTTGCTCAGTATCTGCTGGTCATCGTCATTCCTAATTTATGTGTTATAATTAACGTCTACCCACAACAAAACGTACATCCCTCAGCCAGCTGCAGCTGTACTCCCGTGATGGATACAAGTTTCACAAATAGCCTTTGGGAGCTGAGCCAAGGGAGAAATGGGGCTTTGACTTCCTTTTTTAACCAGAATGTTTCGTTTCATACTTTTTTACTATGCTGAGCCACTATAAGAGTGGACATGCTTTTTTTTTCAATCATTTTAAATTTTTAATTGAATTTTTGTGTATTTCATACAGAAAATCATCTTCATACCCTCTTCTCCTTTGGCACCCTCCCATACCCCACCCCCGGAATTCATACATTCTGTCATTTGTGTTAAGGCCTATCATGTCAAGTTAGTGTCCCCAGATGTTCCTCAGTACAAGTTCATCTACCTGGGTTTAGTCAGCCTATCTAGAGTCTCTCTCTTCAAAAAGACCAACTTGTCCTCACCCAGCAGTAATCAGTTTGCATGGGTCTTGTGCATGCTGAGACCATTGTTGTATGTTTGTATGAGAAAGGTCCCAGGAGCATGTAGGACTGTTTTATATGGTCATGCACCTCCTCCCTGTCTCTTACAATCTTTCCACTGCCTCTTCCAAAATGGTCCCTGGACCTTGGGTGGGTAGACCTCCTATCCAAGGACTGAGTGGGCATGCTTTTTAAATTGTAGTAACAAGCTGTTAGACTTAAGTTTGCTTCCAGAATTCATTAATTTCACCAGTCCATCAGCAAAGATGACAGTGCTCTTGCCCATATGGAGCTCAGGCTCAAGTGAGAAAAACTGACAACAAAACAGCTAAGTACATAAGGGATGAAGAGTAACTCAATTCATAGTGTTTGCATAGCGTGGGTGAAACCCAGGTTTGATCCCAAGCACCACATAAACCAACAGGCATGATGACGCACAAAGCACTTGAGATACGGAGTCAGAGAATGAGAAGTTCAAAGTCATCTTCCCACATGTATCTAATTGGAGACTAGAGTAGCACACAGGAAACCCTGCCCCCTACCCCCAAAATATGTAACTGTAAGGAGGTATAAAATCTTGTCACATGAAATGTCACAGGGAGAGAGCCTTCAAGCTATAATAGGACAACATAGGAGGGATCCCAGGCCTCAGTAGAAAACAGAGGCCTCTTGGGCTGCAGGGAGGGAAGTCCTGAGAGGTGGAAAACACTTCTGCAAAATGACTGGATTACCAAAGATGAGGATCTGCTTGGGTAGCCTAGAGAAGATTCCTGGGGTTTAAAATTCACAGGAAGATTTTTTTTCCCTCCATTCTCAACCCAAACACTGAGCTCACACCTGCCTGCTTTCCTTACAGATGACTTGCCACCTGCCATTCTCATGGCCCTCTCCATTAGTGTGCCTGCTTGTTAGAACACAGCATAGAGTCATCCACACCATGATGAAACACTTTTAAAGTAATGGCCTGATTCTCTCTCCAGAACAGGAGGCGATGAGATAGAAATTGGGTCATTTTGCTGTTTGGAAATAAGAAAGGGAATTTGAGTAAACCAAAAGAAAAATTGTAGGCCCTTCATAAACCACACTGATGGCTCTTCTTATTTTAAAATTGTGCTAGTTGCATTTTCTAAACGAAAACAAGGATGTGCTTATGATCTAGGAAGGAGCTCGTGGCTTGGGGAGAAGTGGCGTCCTCTCCCACACTGCTTTGTGTTCAGCACAACTGTTGAAGCAGGGGAAGGTGCACAGGGCTGACTGCACACCTCAGAGGGCGCAGCTCTAGCCTTGGACCTGTAGCAGACAAGACAGGGTTTATTGTGCCTGTGGCTTACAGATGTGTCTATTTGTTTTTCACTTTTATCATGGAAATTAGACTTACTACCTTTAAGACCCAGCTTCTCCATCCTCTTATTGGAGTCCTGTCCTCCCTGGTTGCCAGAAATGCTTTCCGAATAACAGTTTCCTTCAGGTTGTGTGAAGGCTGTAGACCAGTCACTATGTTTTTGGCCTGGGGCTTAACCTCTGATACATGACATCTTATTTTCATTTCATTTCAGTGAGGAGTGTGGGGGAGCACAGAAAACTGACCTTAGTCTTAAATGGGTTCTCCCCAGGAACAGGAAGCACTCAGAGGTATGTTAGGTATGTTTTTAAATAGGTTCCAACTTTATTTGAGAAACGAAAGAATAATTATTCTCTATCTTGGATTTCTAGATTGACTGACAAACTTTGAAAGATCAAAGACTTATAAACAGCCTTAGTCCATTCTTTCCTGTTTGATTTTAGTCCTTAGGATTCACTGTACCTCTCTGTATTAGTTACTTTTCTGTTGCCATGATAGAAACACTGACCAAAGCAACTTAAAGAAGGAAGAGTTTATCGGAGCTTACGGTTCCAAGGGGCAAGAGTCCATCATGGCAGGGAGGTATGGCGGCAGAGGTGGCTGGAGGAGGAGCAGAAGCTAAGGTCTCACATCTTCAAGCAGGCACAGGAAACAAGAGCAAGGTTTAAGAACTAAGTTGCCTCCAATGACGTGCTTCCTTCAGGATATCTACACCTTCTAAGACTTCCCAAAACAGCGCCACCAAAAGGGGACAAAATGTCCAAATACTTGAAGCCTATGGGGGATATTCTCATTCAAACCACCATACTCTAAGACTAAACCAAATAAGATGGATGAAGTGTATTCACGGTTCCAAATAAAAGTTAGACATGAAGATTATTTCTCTGTCCTGATGCCCTACTCTATCCCAAAAAGCCTCAGGTGACCTGGTCCAGAAGTGAAGGAGAGAGACAAGTTAGGAATGGGTGGCTAGGGATGTGACATGGCTGCCCAGTGCCATCACTGCTTCATCTTTGCTGTGAGCTTGCGAAGCAGCTGCTGTCAATACCCTACTGTTTGCTGGTAAATTAGAAGCTTTGGAAAGTTAAGAAATTTCCCCAGAGTTTCACAGCTGGAAAATGACAGAGCTGGAAGGAAAGCCCATGTTCTTAGCCTGTCTTTCATGCTTCATCTTAAGTATCAGACTCAGGTACTTGTTAATTTTACACTGGATGTTTCTTTTCCCCCAGTTGATTGTGTGACCATAGCCAAGTCACATAACCTCTTTGACCCTCACTTTTTAGATATTTAAAATGAAAGAGCTTGGGGCTAGAGAGATGGCTCAGCGGTTAAGAACACTGGTTGTTCTTGCAGAGACCCGACCCGAGTTTGAATCCCAGCACCCACATGGAAGCTAACAACTGTCCATAACTCCAGTCCCAGGGGATCTGACAGCCTTTTCTGACCTCCGTAGGCATTGCACAACATGGGTACACTTACCTACATGCAGGCAATACACACATACACATAAAATA